TCCACTTTCCATGTAACCCGAGTTCTAGGAACAATTATCTCAAGCAAGTTGATGCTGTCGTAGTGGATTCGTATAGCAACGTCTTTGAAGCCAAAAAAGCGAAGGTGGTCACGCTGTAAGTCATGAGGGCAAACGCCCGCTCGAGCATGGAGATTCTTGCTCCAGAAGGAGAGTTCCAAATACTTCCCAAAGGAGTATTTCCAAGTACTTTCCGACATGGGAAAGACCTGAGTCTCATTACCACAGATCTTGCAACAACTCCACATCAAGATTGTGTCTTGGAGGCCTCGCAGTTTCGAGGGGTAGGGCTGGGTGAAAACGCTTATCTGGGCTTCACCATGCACATACTGACGATGGTGCTCAAACATTCGCTTCTCGCAACCGTTTGCCGTACATACTGCATTTGCGTGTAGACAGATATCCTCGACATACTGTCCTAAAGTACAGTCTGGCTCGAAAATCGGGTCGCCGCCATGCTCGTTGTAGTACTCGAGCGCAAGAAGATCTGGACCAGAGCAGGGGATTGACGTTGTGGTGCAGACAAGACTGAAGAGGACGACGATGTTTTGGTGGGCGTACGGATCGAAAAGGCCGACGCTTCCGGCGACATAGGCCTCCCACTGACGCTTCTGGGTTTGATAATGATGAAGAGCTCTGTCATACTCAGCATCATGGGCTGCGCGTAGGACTTCTTTAACCTTGGGCGGAGCACCCTCGGGTGACTCATGAACCATTTCAGGAGTTATCAGTATGAATTTCTGAGACTTGGCCTTCTCATCTGCTGGCTGGTCAAGGTTAAGGTCTTTGTCGCGGAGGCGCTTAAGATAAGCCAATTTGCGCTCCATCTCCCGGGCACGCATGAGCAGGTAGGGAGGCTCAAACTGGACAAACGGAGACGCGGATAGAACCTTCGTTTCATGGTCCCGAACAATATCTTCGTAGTAAGTTGGCCTCGGAACGTCGTCGGGCACTTCGCTCGCAGTCTCCAGGTCGGTTATGGTGTCTTTAGGCGAGGAACTGCTCGCGCCTTCGTTAGAATCTTGCCCTGCATCTATCTTCTTTTCCATCTCAGCATCAGTCAATGCCGGCATCTGCGCAAATTCATCTCTCATCAAGCAGGTCTCCAGTTTGAGGTTGTAAACAACGTAGGTCATAAATTCAGTGATTCTTTTGACCTTTGCAAGCACCTCGCTATCACCGCCGCGCAAAACAATCGTGCAACCCAATTCTTTACGGCAGCCAGAAAGATACATGTACGTCTTTTTCCGGCCATTGTACACATATGTCTTGACATCGAAACTGCCGCAGTCGCTATGCACCGGGGTGGTCACCAATTTGTCCATAGACGTGATGATCCTTGTTTGAGTGCATCGAGACACAGCTTCAAGTACTGACGACTTGACATTGTATGCGGTTGCGATATTGGCCTTTTCCAACAGCTCCAAGGCCAAGCCGGAGACGTTCTTCTCAACGAGAAGTAAGTTAGGTCGCAAAGCAGCTATTCTGCTCACCAGATTCGCAAGGAATTCACGCTCCTGCCGTATCACAGGTTCCAGGCTCATAAAGTGCTGCTGATGCCGTGCATATTCGAGGGGGAAAGCTATTATCAAGATCTTTGGTTGCGGGATGCTCCTGGACATACTTTTGAGGGCAAGATTTTTCGTAAATACCAATCCGGAAACATAGGAAGTATCTCCTGGTCGGCCACCCAGGATCTTCTTTAGCTTTATATAGTGACGAATATCCATATCGTCACCCCCCTGCACGTCCGGTACGACCTCGTCCGCTGCCTTAAGAAGTATCGGCAGAAGAGCCGTTTCCCACTTGGAGACGTTTGGCACGGACGAGTCTTTGAGGAGCTGTCGTAGCAGTTTGCGAACATGCTGCAGGCTAGCCTTGTTTAACTCGACCGGAGGCGCACCTGCTCCTCTCATAGATGAGCTTCTGGTCATTTTGAAGCCGCTTGGAGGAACTCCCGGGGGGAGAACATGAACAGCAGGCGGTTGTTCAAGTGAGTTAAACATGCTATCTTTCGATGCTCTCGGAGAGTGGCGCTGATGAATACTACTTGCAACACTAAGATTGCGCCGACGGGAAGCGCGAGGCAAATTTACTGCTCTCGAGCTGCTAACACTACCATCATCTGGTTCGCGGCCAAAAGAGTTTAAACCAGCAACACTCCGATCTCCAAACGCGTGTCGGCCTTTCTTCATGGCTGCAAGCAGTCCACTAAATGTAGTACGCTCACTTTCTCCACCACTTTTGGACAACGAGCCTTCTGATACAGCAGACATTAAATTGGGCTGTTCCTCGCCACTGGAGGCATCATCGGAGAGGTACTGTGCCAGGTCAGGATCGATGATGTTATCTTTATGAAATGCAGGCAACCGAGACTCATGTACGGCATCATCTATTTGGCGCCGCTGGAACGGTGCACGGTCATCGTGGTGGGGTTTGAAGCTTCGGATATACTGCTGACGGGAATGGTGACGCTTGTGGCCCATTGAATGAGGTCTCCCACTCAATGACGACTTCAAGGATCTTGAGGACGTCGGCCGGGCTAGTGGTCTATCTGGGCTAATTTCAAGCACAGCTGAGCGGCGGTTGTGGCCTTCTCCTGCACGCCGTGTCGCGGGAATGGCCATAGTAGGAGTCTTCATCACATGTTCTATGGACTGAGACACGACCGATGAGGTATCATCCTCCTCAGAAGGAATACGCGGATAAATCCCCGCCCCAAATTCGGACATCCGAGGATTGAGCGGTATGGGGCTTTGCTCGCTGTCAGAGAACTCGGAAGAATCGTCGTCATGGCCATTTATCATAGCCTCGCAAGGCTTGCACACACGTATAGTTCCGGTTTGGCTAAACCGGTCACCCGGGATTAATAATGTGCATTTAGAGTCAAAAATTTGCCCGCACGTCCGACAGTGGTGCTTTCGTCGGAATGTAGAGAAAGGTTCGCCACAATGGAAGCAATCTTTGGCATTTTCGTCTCGCATCCAAAACTCCTTGCTTAGTAGCTTGCTTCGGAGCTGGGACATGACGCCATCGCCACTCGCATGCGGCCGCCAGCTTCTTCCGTCTGTGCCAGAAACGCGGTCCACAGACGTGTTTAATGGCGCCAGAGCTGGTGGGCCAGTTACGGATTCTGCTGTGGAGGCTTGGGATGCCACATATCCTGGCAACCGGCTCGCGCTCGATATGGACTGCCTTTCTCCAGTCTTATGCTTGATTAATGGCTTTGGTAGTTCTTTCCGTTGAGTCTCATCATCGGGCATTGGCAGGGGCGTAGCAACTCCAGAGGGAACTTGCTTTTCAATGAAGGGAGCTACCTCATTGCTGTTGTACTGAGTGACGCTATTCGTTCTTGATCCAGAGGCTGTGTTGATTCTGTCCAGGCTGAATGACGCGCCTGAATTCGATCGTAGCCTTTCGGGGGGGAAGGGGATACCATCTGGGGTTCCATCGATCGAACGTTTAGCCTTTCGCAGCGGGCCAGGCAGAGCAGCCTCTATCTCATGAGTTCCCTGCGAATCCGACCTACGGAAATTTTCAGGCACCTGACTCCCCATGGTAGACGTTCTGCTGATATCATGGCTTGCTGGAGCTTCGTTCACGGAACTGGATTTGACCTGTAATACCGGGGAATTAGAGAGCCGCTGGCTCCAACCCGACGAGGACATGGATGCAGTATGAGGGCCATCTTCCCTGTCCGTTCCAGCGGACTCCACAGTTTGCAGGCTGTTAGTGGAAAGATTGATCGAGTTCGTACTTGAGGCATGAGTAGCATTCACATGAAGCTCGGTTACCATCGGGTCAATGGCTGTGGAGCTACCCGTAGCTTTGGGTAAAGGTGGCACCGGGGATTTCAGCGCAGGTGATATTAACGGCTTCGAGGATGAACTTGTTGATTTGGGGGGGTATTTTGCGCTCTTCCCCGGTCCAGAAGCACCATCCTGGAAGGAGTGCTGGCTCCCAGGAGCCGGGGAGTGAAGCCTCGATCCCTGTGACGAGCCCGCATGGTGCTGATAGGATTCCGAAGACTCATGGGTAGGCTTCATGGAAGAGCGCTCTGACGGGGGACTTTTCAAACCAGTATCATCCACAGTATTCTTGTCTGAGGATTTCCCAACCCCGCTCACAATCCCACCCACTGACGTCCTAAAGCGACTATATAGCCCGCTCAGCCCACCTTGCAGCTCGCCGGATATGGTTTTCTCGTCTGATGCAGATGATGGGGCAGGAGGGCTCGTGAACTCGTTGAAAACTGTCAAGGCGTCCGACTGGTAGGCAGCGGTATGTATTTGATCGAGGGCTGCGTGCAGACTTTCACGTTCCGCCTGCGTTGATACAGAAGCTCGAGAACCGCGGCGACCGAGAGGAAGGAAGACAGAAGAGGCGGAGGGGCTCGAGGTCCCTTGGGACTGTTGGGAAGCCATCCAGGCTTCTTCGTACCCAGAGATGGGACACGAAAAAGCAGATATCCCCGCGGAATCTTATCGAACGTTAATCAGACAGGTTTAGCAAGGCAAGGGGTGGCAAGCATTTGCGGTATCTTGCTGCGGAGAAGCTTCCGTTGCTCGGTGATCGGAGTCTGTGCGGTGAGTGTCCATGCATGGGTGAGTTGGACTCCACATTCTCTGGAGGGAAGTCGGATAATAACAAGATTAGTCAGTAGAAGACACCGAGGAGGGCAGGCAAGGCAACCTTTGTCTCCGATGAGAGAAGAGGAGCAAAGCGGGGGAGAAGAGATGCTGAATGAGACAGGCTGCACTGTCTACTGTCTAGACCTCGTCGATTAGCAGCAACAGGGATTCGGGCGGTGCCCATGACATGTGCCGCTGCCCAATGACGTGGTTCGCGTCGGCCACCGCATTGTGGCTGGTGTGGTGGCTAGTATATGCTTGCGCCACAGTGAAGGCGGTCAGGCGCGTCGGTTGCCGACGAGGTCGCGTCTGCCAGGAACAAATTAATGAACTGCGCAGCTTGCGCTAGGAGCCAGACTCAAATAATCGAAGCGATAAGATCATGGATTTTGCTACCCACTATACAGTTCTGCATCTGCAGATGGAATGAAAACAAACGTGGATCCGTATACGTACACTAACCAAACCTTCATCTGCTGAAATCTATCACCAGACTATGTGGCCCTATACCAAAAAGCTCGCTCGCCTTTGCCCGCTTCTAGATCCTCACAATGGCCTCCGCCGAGATCTGGATTGCGCCCGTCATTGAGAGATGTCTCGCATCTTATAGCCAAGGTTCAGCTAGTATTACCAAGTACGAGGATGATGGTAGTAACCTTCGTTTTTCTACCCATGTTCAGCATTCGGCTTTGATCCAAGGTGTAAGTTCGATCAACCTCCTGCGGTTATGAGGACTAATGCACTGACTATATTTTCCGACTAGTGGAGGGAGCAAGAGGATGTACCCAAATTAATCTTGACCGACTCCAAATCTCAGATCGAGGCGATCCTTACACACGAGGCATTACGGGTATACGGGAAAACAGCACCGGACCATCCATTGGGTGCGGACCTGGCTCGGGGTTACTATATCCAGTTGTTGGACTTTCAGGTAGTCCTGGAGTATGCGATGGTTGAGCCAAAGGTTCATCTATATGTTCAACGTTTCGATATCGACTGGGGCCGCGGCAAAATTAAATCAGCCCCGCAGGGCAAGTTCGTTAATAAGAACCCTTCCGTCAAAAAATTGATGCAACATGTCGTTCACGGTATCAGAGGCCTCGAGGCGCAACATGCGGCATATGCGGAACCATTTGATGATACTTTTGGAACACAGGCATACCAAGACACTCGGATATCTGCTTCGCAAGACCTCCTCATGTCCCAACTACCCCCAATGTCCGCTTTCAAGAGTCCAGCGGCTCGTACCTCGTCTGTTAGCTGTTCTCATATGACAAATAGTTTATTGGGGAATGCAGAAATGCTTGCCGGAGCGCCGAATGTTCCCGAAACAAGTAGTGACAATATGCACAGACGAAAAACAAATGCTGCAGAACAGCTTCGGAGTAGACAGAACAGCGCCGATATTACCAAGCCTTCCCCCAACTCCATGACTGTCCGGCGAAGTTCATCGGCTACTAGCCCCACGAGGCTTGAGGATGCCACGGGGACAGGGAAACCTGATACCCTCATTCGACTGCCAAGCGAGCCGGTGACCCAGAGAGTTGGCCAGCCACCCTATGAACCATCAGGCGAATTTACAAAGGACTCAAATGGTGCTGTCACAGCAAATGGGTCGGCATCCATTGCGGTTCAGGGAAGTTCTAATAAACCCTCTTCTCAGTCTATGAAACCGGAGAGACCGTGTCCCGGTGATACCGATCCTTGGCATGGAATGACAAAGATTCGACGGAGAGACATAGAAATCCCAAAAGAGCAAGCTGAACTGCTGGAACAACATAGGCGCCGCTGGATACCACCATCTCCAGGAGAAAGCACGCCACAAGGACATGTGCCGCCCAGACTCCTTGATCAATGGAACAAAACGGCACTTCGAAGAAGTCGCATGGCTCGAGAGGAGATGTCTGTGGACGTGGAGACTGAATCTCACCAGCTTCTTCCTAGCCAGCCCAGCCCTACACCTCAGACCGATTCGGAATCAGAGGGCGAGCCTTTGACGTCACAATGGTCAATTTCCCCAGAGCAAGAGTCACGTTCACGTCAAATTTTGCCTGCAGATAGCAGCCCAGTGCGTGTTCGTACCTTTAGGAAGGGAGGAGACTCAAAAATCGAGGCATCCGAACAACCTCCGCGAGGTAGCTTGGAGTCTGCTCGTGGCGATCAAATCATACCGCAACCGATGTTCAAGAACAAGGAGGACCCCATTTATACAGGCCCCGACGGGGATGGTCAGCTTGTTGGTTGTGGAGCGTCTCAAATGAAAGATACAACTCATATTCAGGATCTCCAGGATGATTCCGATGCTGAAAGCGAAGACTCGGTGATGGACACGTCCGTTCCGTGTCCACTCGGTGATGTGCAACAAGTGCAAGTTACTAGTCAATCAGAACAAGAGGTTATAAGCTCTGGCTCATCACTTCCTGGGCCTCGCATTCGCGAACATGTGCAGGTTGTGGACACGCCAGACAACAATGTTAGCCGTCAATCTAGGGACTTTGCTAAGAAGGACGCTGGATTGCAAACTCGTCACGATGGGCAGCTGTCATCTGACGCAGCGAAATCGTCATCTCAATCACGGATCCTGAACACGTATGCCAGTAGTGGATCCAAAGGGACTTCATCCCAGGATCGTCAAGATGGCGCCACCGCTAATAAGAACTCCGATGTACTTGGCACACAAGTGAGCAACGGCAGTCTGCATACTGACACAACGCCATATACGACGTCGGACTTGGGGCTCAATCCATCTGCTTCAGGAGTCCAACCGCGCAGTGCCTCGACCAAAGGCCAGATGCTCAACTCACAGAAGTCAGATCCGTTTTCCTCGTTCCGAGAAATGCCTTCGTCAATACCTTCGGAGATCGGGGCGGTTGTAGCGGGCATTGATCAGCCCACAATGTCGCGCCCAAAACGTCGTGTGTCGGAGGTCGAACAAGAGCAAGAGTCCCCTGCAAAAAGGCCCAAGATGGCGTCTCATCAAGAGCCAGCCGAAGAACCAGCGTTGAACATAGTCGTTCGTCGCCGAAGCTACATCAACCACTCCACCCAAAAGTTGGAGGAGGCGCAAAGGGTGTATGAAAAGTTTCGGCGTGATTATCCGAACTATTCAGGGGGCTTCGCTCACTTTACCGAGCTTTGCTCGAAACTCCACGCTGTCCGCTCCAAGGGACACTTGCAGCGGTCTTTCTTATGGGATGACTTCATAATCAAGCATCTCGAGGATTATCCACGCTATATTGAAGAGTGTCTCTCCGCGGGTACCAAGTCGTTGGCATATGAAGACTTCTTTTCGTCGTCCTACTCTAGGCCTTCATACAAGAAACGGAGCATTACCACTCACGGGATCGAGATTAGTGCGGCACAGTATGTTTCCGCAGATCAAGCTGGGGCGCCCGATACCGATATCACATCTCGAAAAGCAAACGCTTCTTTTACGGAGAGTCTTGTCGAGCGATTCACTAATTTCCACGCCCATTCCTTTGGTCCCGAGACTCAGGGAACCCAGTCTGATACGGATATGGACTATATGTCGTGTGTTATGTCGTCTCCCACACCTCAGACAAAGGTCAGGCGTGACAATGCACCAGACCTCCCAATACTGGACGAAGAGGCTATGGAGACAGACTTGGAACAGGATTCGAAGTCGGATATTTCAGTACATGAGAATAGGCAAGCCCGGGATGGCCCGCCGGTGGAAGAACAGCCCTTGGAGTCTTCCGTTCCTGCAGGCGAAACTTATTACGACGTTCAAGACCCGTTTGTGAATGAAGACACCCCGTCTGCGCAATTAGAACAGTACTTGAAGTCTACTTTGGACGAAAAGGAGACACAAAGCCAGGTCAACACTCGCGAGGGAACAGCCATTGCTGAAGAGCTGGCAGGGCCGGGACAGCCAGAGTCCAGTGCCGTGGAGAATGCCATCAATCGCGCGGAGATACCCTCGGCTGCGCACGAAACCTCTCAGGAAGATAACCTGGACTCAAGTGTCCCAGAGAGTGGAGATTATATCATGGACGAGCAACCCAAACCGGACTTGGACTCCAGCATACCCGAAAGTGAAGCTGCAATGGCAGACCCAGCAGGCACAGAGCAGGACGATGAGTTGGAACTACAGCACCACTCAGTCCCCCACTCCCCACAAGGTTCAACCGAATCTGACATTGTGAGCGAGTCCAGCCACTATGAAGACGATGACACCGATTCAGAAACAAAGCCAAATGCAATACCACTGCCCCCAGGTAGTGACGCAGATTCCGACTCCGACCACTCCGACGAAGAAGACGAAGACGACGAAATGATTGACGAGACGCACGAAACAGCCAGCATTGAGCTCGGCGCAGAGACCCAAGATGCCGCGCAGCAGCAGCAGCAGCTTTCAGACCTCGAACCCGAATCCGACACGGAAAGTGTCAACGAGAATTGGTTCGTGTCCCTTCGACACATCCGTCCCAAAGGCCCTGTCTGGTCTGACGACCCTAATACGCCCTTCAAGCAATGGGCACGAGCGGACCAGGCCGTTCTTTCTGAACGTAACCGACGAGGCGGCGCCTACCTGCCAGTTGATGAGAAGGGAGTGATCCAGCGTCCTGGATATCGTCGATGAAAGCTAATCTATCCCCTATTCATGTTTCCAATTCATTTATCTTCTGGGATATTATTCTTCCTATACCCCCTTTTTTTCTTTACCTGTATTTTTAAGGTGGTTATCTTACCTTCTTTGTTTGTATTATTATCATTGTCGTTGCTATATCTCGTTTTCTTACTTGATATTTTATTGATGAGAGATATGAGTGTGGTTCATATATATTATGACCTTTAAGCCAGTAAGCCCGTAATCAAATGCCTCTTCGATGGAAGAATGAGAGTGGACTGTTTAGAAGGAGTACTGTGGTTCACAGAGCAATGTCGGATGGTATTTCAATCGAAGAGCCGCTACACAGCAAGAGGTGGACAGTAAAATTGGGTCATTGTCCACTTCCCGAATAGGAAACATTGTTCAGCTCAACCACATGACAAAAGCATTGTTGACGTAGTAGGTAAGCATCTTATTTCTTCAAACAGCGACGTGCATATTTCCCTACTCAGTTATTAATTACTTATACCTTAATCGGCACCATGGTGAGTAAACACGCAGGCAATAAGGTAAAACTTATGTCTATCACTTTACAAAGTAATTACCAATGGGCTAGTTACCAGGTAAAATAGTAAAAATGGATAAAGGTAGATATTTTCAATTCATATACAATAGATGGATGCAACTAGCATTAATTCATCATGCCAAGAGTCGCAGCACTTGAAGAATCAGTGCCGGACCAAGAGCTCTATAATCCAAATTCCAAACCCTCCATACTCGGGGTATCACGGGTATGCACACGAGCTTTCCTGCCTTTTCTTGGCTGGAAACAAAATACACAAGTACAATATAAAAAATGTCATCATCAGGTTGTTGTTGTCATGACCGAACCAACCCAAACCAGAACGCCAGTATGAACAAATGTTGAATGGATCCCTTCCTTTCTTATTCAGGAAGTGTTTTTTGTGATTGATGTTGGTGGTAGACCATCATCTAAGCATGACGGAAGGGTTCATAGGCGTTCGTGCGACCCGTGGTCTGGTTGTTGTGGATCGGAGGCGGGGGAGGGTAAGAGGTGTTGGTGTAAGGGGTCGGCTGGATCTGGCCGTGAGGGCCCAGAGCCTCGTAGGTGTAGGGAGTCTTTTCGGCCATGACAGCGCGGTTGCGGTTGCGGTGGTTGTAAGGGGAGCGACCGGAGCAGCAGCAGGAGCTGATGATCCAGAAGAGAGTGGCTCCGAGAGAGAAGGCGACCGCGAGCCAGGTGGCGACGTAGATGTTCTTGCCCATTTGACCCTTGATGCCGTATTGCTCGAGATCGGACTTGAAGACACCCTTGAGGACGGCGAACATGGCGGTGGAAGTGACGGAAGCGGCAGCGGTGAAGAGGAAAGCAACAGCAGACACCAAGCTGGTCACGCAGCTACCCCAGCGACTGCAGATCGCAAAGACACCGACGACCAGCTCGACGATGGTGAGAGCGAAGGCGATGACGTAGGCGATGAACATCCACTTGGAAACGGCCTTGTAGGTGTTCAGGGCGCTCTTGACGTTGCTGGGAAGGGCATTCTCCAGGCCGGTCTCTTCCAGGTTCCAGACCTCCATAGGGTTGAACCAGAACTCGGCCTCGGGCTTGGAGCAGTTGCTGGTTTGATAGCTGTTGTTGGAGGTGATGTTTCCTTCACAGTAGCCCCATAGACCAATGGCGTAGAAGTCCTCGATGTTGTATTGTTCCTCGATTTCCTCGAGCGCAGCGGAGAGATCGCCATCCGAAACACCGGTCAGGTCACTCACGACGGAGGATACTGTTGATGCGGTGGAAGAGGCTTCGGAGGTGATGTTCTTGAGGTTGGCCTGGAGCGGAGTCAGTACGATCGGACATTTGAGTGGGGATGCATGAAAGGTAAGCAAGACGTACTCTGAAGAAGTAGAGATCATTTAGCGTGCTGGAGCTGGATTTTGTGCAGCCCAGGCCCACCATGATGATACATATTAAGGAAGCGATGGTGAGGACATATGGAGTGAAGATGCAGACAATGCGACCGCCTTTACCCATGGTGACGGTTGATGTGGAGGATGACGTGGGGATGTATGTATGCTGTGGTTGTTTTCCCTTGCTTATCGGGGAGTAGATTTGATTTCAGGTCCGAACAGGTGGTTAAATAAATAGAAGCAGGACACTGAACGTGAGTGTATCAGGATGATGGGTGGTGATGAGGAATGTGTGAGATGAAAGATGAGAAGAAGGCTGGGACAGGATGATTTTATAAAAGAGGCTGCTGGGGGATCAACACAAAATTACTTGTTATTTACTGCTTTTGAATTTAGTTTATTGGGGAGGCGCAGTCAGATGGAGAGAGTTTGGTTGATCAGCGGGCCAATCACGGAGGGCAGATGATGGACTACGCCACGCTTGTTTCTATAATAAATTCGAGCGAGTTTCCACCGCAACCCAAACGCGGGATCCAGCACGGTTGATAGTGGAGCCTTTTTTTTTAAAGGGTTCTGGTAATGAGCAGATATTTTCATAGCAAGCAATATTTCTGTTGACATTGCACAGAGCACACTGCAAGGGACTAGTCCCCATCGAGGAAACTGACCCTCGTGGCGGAGACTCACCAGCCCTACCGCCACGTCAGAAAGTGGCTGGGGTAATACGCGTCCTCTTCCTCATTATCATTATTATGACTCTGGTATTAACCTTGTTTCCTCATATTTTGTCAAGTCAGTTGATGTATTCCATTTCATCAATTTTATACACACACGGGAATCCTGGCTATTAACTGAGTAGTCCTGCGCAATCTATGTCGGTCGGGTCAAGTTGGATCGTATCACTCCAACCAACCTATCTGATACACGGTGGACCAAAGAGGCACCGTACAGTGAAGTAGCGATCGTCATCATCGGGAATCTGCTTAACCATCCCATTCCCAAGATTTCCTGTGAGCCTGGATCTCTGGATGAGCGTGTCTCACCCTCAGCCCACCAACCACGGAACCTCCACTGACTAGGCTTCATCATTTTGAGCTTGGCAATACGCGGTCAATGTTGGATGCTTTTATTGGTATGCATGACATTCTCGGAAGTTTCTTCTGCATCGACATATTCCCTCCTGTCCGTCCCATGGTACTGCCTCAGGGACGTCCGATGAAGTGCCCAACAAGTCATCTCGACAGTGATTGATGGATCATCACCACGGAATATTCTTAGCAAGGCAACTGGCGTAATCAACCACGACTAGTCGAGTCATGACTTCATAACCACCTATGAAAAGAAGCAAATCTGCTGTTTCAATTCTCAACCGTCGCGGCAGACGGGAAAAGTGCCGGGATTGACCCTCTCCGATCGACCAGACTATTAACCCGGGCTTACGTTGAGCGTCTTGGCGGGCCCGTCTCTCATCCATGGTTCCTCGTTCGGCCTCGACCATCCCATCACTGCCCTACCTGCAGTCGTTGCTTTCTCATGCATTCAACATCGCGGTGTTCGTCCACGAACATCATTTATCCGATAAGGCTGATGAGGAGAGCTTTGTATATCCTACGACCAGTGGGTCGTCAGATCATTACTTCCTACGCAATTCGTTGAGTTGTACTCGATGATCGTTGATAAGAATCCACCGACTACTCGTTATGGAGTACAACGTGCACTATTTCAGCGACAGGCGTGCCTCATTGCCTACAGGTGACACTCAACAGAATGCACAAGGATGGAGCGTCCATAACGGAATGCTTTGTGACGTCAGTCAGTGCGCTGCCACTAATGTATACTAGTACTCCTCTCTGTACCACCACCGCCCACTCGGACAAGATACTCCGTATAGTTCTCCGATGCACCGCATCTGCGACCCACCCAGACCTCAAAGATACGTCTCCAGGATATCCAGCATACCCGTGTACGCAGTTCCATCTGGGGGCTCCAGGCTGAAAATGTAATCTCCCCACCATGGCCCGGCTGCCCACCACGACGCACCCTTCCATACGTCGGTGTTATTCGCCATGTACTCCAGCATCCCCGACACAGCACTCCGACATACATCATTGGAACCCCCGGCATATTCGCCTATGAAGCCGACCTTCTTATTGTCCTTCAGCCACTGTGTAGCTTCAGTGACCCGCTCTTTTCCGATGGTCTCGGACACGCAGGTCTCCGAGGTGCCGGAACCGTCGGAGTCTAGGTACTGGTGCATTTCATAGACGATCTTGTCTTCGGGGTCGGTCAAATTCTTCATGTTGTCGTTGACGTCGACCCACGTCCAGGCGCCGGTCCAGGAGTTGCCTTCGACGAAGATGTACTGGCTGGTCGCACCTGCGGCGCGGATGCCATTAATGGCTGCTTGGTTGAGGTTCAGCACGAGATCCTGGTCCATGTCGTAATATTCATTGTCTGCCTTGTCAGCATGATCCTTGACGGGATTGCGGGTACTCACTAGTGTCGAACATGACCAGGTCGTTATCTTTGTACTGGCCGGCCAAATTCTCCCAGAAGGTCTGGAAATCCGACGTGCTGGAGATGATCTCGCCGTTGCTGTTTTGTTAGCCAGTATCACCTATGGGGACTGCATACTTACTATCTGCCATAGTTATGAGGGTCAACAAGGGCATGGGCGCCTCCGTCCGTTACCGCTTTTATCACCTATCTCGTCAGCACTACTCAACACAGACTGGAGTCATCTTACTGTCGTCAAGTTGGCCAGATACTCCTCATCATATGAACCAGTCATCGAGTCGGGCAGCAACCTCTCCATCATGAACTGGACACGGAAAAAGTTCATCCCCTTGTCAATTAACGTAGAGATGGCAGAGGGGTCGGGGAAGATGTAGTCGGTTCCCTGCGACATCAGCATACGCCTATACTTTGGCAATGATACATACCCAAACACCAGGAATATTGGTCCCAAACTCAGCACCCGACTCATTTGATCCGAACCCTATTCTGTCAGCTTTGCAACAACAATGCAAATAGAAGCTTACACTCAAATACAGACGCCCTTCTCTTGTGTACGGGACCATGAGGCACAGCCAACGCGGAACCTGCCGCGGCGGCAAGAAACAGAGTGCTCTGAAACTTCATGATGACTGCTCGATTAACAGTCTACAGTTAGTGTCTAAGGAGATGAGAATGTCCAACCTTTATATCCTCCTCTCATCCTAACTATCCCAATCTAGCACGGAGGTAGCCTACTTGGCCAGATATCTCCGTCTACGACTATTCAAATTGAAACATCCGAATGTAGAGAAAACGGGTATTCAAACAGGTAACGTTGCAGATCTTCACACCTGCAGGTATCATCAATTCCTACAGGACGGATAAAGTCGAAGCAGGGTCTACGCTCGGTCAATGATCCGCCTTGGCAGGGTCAGGGTCATGAAACTGATACGGAAATGAGGTCCGTGACGGGAGAAGAAGGATCAACATATAAGAACATGGGGTAGAGGGCATGAGTGGAGCTTTCATGTCAGTGACATGGTCGAAGTAGCGATGCATTCAGCCAGAATACCGTAGGACAGTCCCTCAATCAAATATATAACCGGTGCAGTCTATACTACATATCATCAATGAACAAATGAACAAAGCTGAGCATTTTTCAACTACTAGGTTCCATTTCAAACCACTAGTATATTTGTTCCATCTCAAACATAGTAGTATAGCAGCAGTACTACCCAACAACTAATATACTATAAAAATAATACTACTACCAAGCCCCCAAACGCCCCATCTCCCCCTTCATATCCTCCGCCTGCAAAAGATGATACTTCATCCCGGGATGATAATTATTCCACCAGATACACGACGTCCCATCATCATCGATACACGTGGCGTTGGGGAATCCATACGCCGTGGGATCATCCAGAATTTTGGTCATGAAAGACCACGAGTCATAGAGGACGGTAGTTACCTGCCCCCAACCAACCACCAGTCAATCAGCTCTCCTTCCAATCCCTACACATTAAGAAAAAGGGAAACTTACATCCCCCTTCCCCTTCTTAAATTTCTCCACCATCCCCTTCAAATTCTCATTAAAAACCGCCAAATACTCCGCATGCTGCTCGACGACCTCCTCACCCTGCTCCAAAAACAACGGACTGCGACTCGTCGGCGGAACATTCAGAAACAGGAACTTCCTGCCCCCGTTCTTGTATACCTCCTCCACGAGAGATTCTAGTCGGGATATGAGCTTCGGGGTGTATGTCGCTGCGTCGGTGGAGTAGAATGCGTTTCCGATACTATTATTCCGTACATTTCTATTAGCTTTCACCCACACCCCCATAAATAACACACAGAGAGAATTATAAGAATGGAAGAGGAGAGTACTCATTAATCCCAATCCACACCCCAAACACCGCATCCTTAGCATCCCAAGGCGCCGTCTCCGGCTTGTCGGCATATACATCCTCAAACAGCCGGAACTGCGATGCCAAGTCACCCGGGTATGCGGGGACTAGGGCATTGTCGATAGTGGCGCCCCCCGCGGCGAAGTTGTAATTGAGGACTAAGGAGGCGTTTTCGGTTGTTGTTAGGTAGCCGATCCAGTTGGGGCCGTTGGTTGTGGTGCCGATTCCTTTTACCCATGGTGTTTGTTAGTATAGTGGGGAGGGATGGGAGAAGGGAATTGGTATGGGGATGGGTGCTTGCCTAGGTCTGGGTTGCCCATGGGATTGGAGGCGGAGGGTTGGGTGCCTGAGGCGCTGAAGCCGGTTTGGGAGTAGGAGTCTCCGCTGTATTTATTGTTTAGTGGTGGTGGTGAAAGTAGTGGTTAGGGGTAGGGGGTTGTGGGGGACGTACAAGGTGAAGAAGTAAGTGGGATTCGTGGTGGTGTTTTCTGCTCTTGGTCGTGGTACTTGGGTCCATGGTCTTGCTGTGGCTGTGGGGATAGCGGTCATGGTGATGGTGATGCCGCTGGCGAGGAGCCAGGAGGGTGGGAGTCTCATATTGGTTTAGGGCTGCGATTGCAGAATGATTTGTAGGTTTATTGAAGTTCTTGGCTGGGTAAAATTTGGAGTATCAAGCTGTGTTGATCTTCTGGGATACTGTTATATATCACTACTAAAAGAGGGGTATGTATCACGCCCATTCTAGACCCAGCTGCAACTTGGAAAGTGAATGCTGTGAGATCCATTTAGCCGATGCGATCAGACCTCAATTGCGGTTGATGGAAAGAGAATTCCCCGTCCTGAACCCTGGTGTTGCGGGGTAGCAATCGTGCAATGCATGCTTGCTTGCATCCTGCAGATAGCAAATCGGAGGGAGAAGAACATCACCAAGGTAGGAATCAAGCATTGAACGAACAGACTATGCCGTTTTGGCTACGGGGTGGCTTGCTTAGCCTCCCGGATAATAGCGAATGTAAACCGCGGTACACTTTATTCTATGGCTCTATGTTTATTGGTATAGTATGTGCAAATCATCTAAAGTAGGTACTACAACTGCAGACGTAACATCTCCATGCCAGTACCACACACCACCAGCTTACTTCCCGACTCGTCGTGGAGGATGTCCAGCGATGAAATGTCCGCCACAGAACTGTACCGCTCCGCTGCCTTGCTGATCTGGATCCGGTCCGCCCCGTTCATCTTCGTGTCAATGTCGATCCACCAGATCTTGACTTGGTGGTCGTTGCCGGACGATGCGACGGCGAATCGAGCAGTCCCGTCGCCTGGGTTCAGGTGCTGGGTGAGGATCTTCGTTGTCGTTATGCAGGCTGCGTGGGCGTCTGGGACTGCGATGGTGCATGTGGTAGCGCCGTTCTCGATGCTTGTGTCTAGAAGAGTGACGGTCATCGAGTTGTCGTCGCCGGCTGCGACGATCAAGGACAGGGTGTTTGATAGATCGGCCAGTTCTAGGCTCTTGATGCTGTTCCAGTGGATCTGGTAGCGGTTTTCGCATGAGATGGTTGCTGGGGTGATGCATGCTCCTTGGATGGTCTGCTTCATACGCAGAGGTGATGTGATCGTGTAGAAAGGTTCCAGGACGGAGGTCAGGTCCCAGAGTGTAAAGTAGCCGTCTGTGGAAGCTGTGATTAGGCTCAGTGATGAGCCCTTGAGCATAAAGTTTGCTTGCGTCAGGCAGTTGCTCATGTACGTGCCATTCGCTAACAAGGTAAAG